TTGTAAAAAGAATTAGCAAAATTTACAAATAATTATATTGAAATTCGTTTAAAATATGAAATTAGGTAGAATTGTAAAAAGAATTAGCAAAATTTGCAAATAATTCTACTGAAATTCGTTTAAAATATAAAATTAGATAGAATGATGTACTTCCAATAATTAAATAAGTAATAAATTAATTTACATAGAATAAAAAAATATATTATGATTACATATAATATATAATAAACGTATAATAAATAATTGATAGGAAAGACTTTTTAAAAATATATTTTTTATACGATTTCGTTTACAATACCTGTCTGTACTATTTACACAGTTATAAATGAATAGACAGAAAATATGTGTGTCTATTTGTTTTAAATAGCTTATCAACTGATCTTAAAATAGAGTTTCTTTTTCTATTGATTTATAGAATAAAATTAGATTTACATTGAGAACTTAGTGGAAACGAAAATAAAATAAACCTTTAAGTAGTTGTATTATTATTACTATTATTAGAATGATCCAACTGGGATGATCACCGATTAAACTCGACACTTGTTTTTTCCCTGTCATCTTTGGAATGCATAGAATGACGATCTTACTTGTTTTTTCTTATATTTACTCTTCTTTATAGAATAACATTATTATTAATCGTCGTTATGATCATTCCTGGTTATGTTTTCTCAACATTCTACACAATTTTTGAATTTATTTTCTCGCTCTTGTTCGAATACATACGTCATTCGTGATGAGAAATACAAAGTATTATATACGTTTATCGGGATAAATAAAAATATAAAATACTCGAGAAACAAGCATTGGGTTCTTTGATTTATGAAGTCGTTATCGATCGAAAAGAGAAAGAGAAAGAGAGGAAGAAAATAAAAAAAACACAACAACTTGTGATGGTGACAAGAAGATTGAAGAAGACGCATGCATTCGAAAAGAGTATAATGTATATATACATCATACGTACACCTTCTTTATATTTCTCCAAGCGTGAGATGATTTTTATTCACGTCACGAGAGTTGCAAAGTACTACGGTGCATTTTTGATATAACAAGCACAACATCGAGAAAGGAACTTGAAAGACAAGAAGAACGCAGTTGGGAAAAATAAAAATGAAGGGTTTGCTACGGAAAGGGAAGGAGAACTAAAAAGAATCGAGACACAACTTTTAAAACAAACGAAACTTGGGGAACCTATTGTAAGAATGAAAAGTAAAATAAACAATAGTAATATATTAATAAGTAGATAAAATAATTAATTAATTTAAAAAAAAAAACAAGAAAAAGATACAGGTAAGTCCAGTGCCATCTGAATGGCAGGAAACATTTGAACATAACCTAATCTTTATCTATATTTTGGCTCACATTAATCACGGTAATACGTAGAGGGGCTAGTAATATTATAAAATTAAATTAAATATAATATTAAATACTATAATAATTGTAATTATATTAAAATTACGCATTGCTTTGAAATAAATCAGAATGAACTAGTTAAATCTCGTCTCAGGTTAGTTTCAATGACATACTGATACTTCAAATGTAGTAAAAGGATTAATAGACAATATTACAATAATTTAACTCTTTGCGGTATAGAATTTCAGATAATAAAATAGCTCTATGTTGCATAGAAATTTGATTATGTTTTAAATGAAACTAAATTGGTATATTTTTATTAATAAAGGTATTACAGAATGTAATAATGTAAAAACACAAAAAAAAAGAGTTAATAACCAATTGTTTTGCGTAAATAAGACGAAATATAAATTTATAAGCATGCAATATATTTCGAGATGAGACTAAAAATGTTCCATCGTGCATTATGGTGTATCAAAAAGGTGGGACACTTT